TGGGAATCCAAGCATGGCTCGGGTTGCCCAGCATGGTGCGGCTCCCAGCAGCGGCGGGGGACTTCCAGATGCCTTCCAGGCAGAGAAGCAATGGAAGGCATCAGGAGACCCCCACCCCCACCCTGCTGCCGCCACCAAAGCAGCAGCAGGGGGGACCTCCGAGATGCCTCCCATGGCAGCAGAGAAGCCCTGCAAGGCATCAGGAGGCATGATCTACTGCCTATGGACTGGAAGGGGGAGGCGGGGAAAGCACCAAATTTGAATTGGGCATTTTCCCTGCCTCCCCCTTCTGGTCCATAGGTAGGAGACCCCCACCCCCACCCTGCTGCCGCCACCAAAGCAGCAGCAGGGGGGACCTCCGAGATGCCTCCCATGGCAGCAGAGAAGCCCTGCAAGGCATCAGGAGGCATGATCTACTGCCTATGGACTGGAAGGGGGAGGCGGGGAAAGCACCAAATTTGAATTGGGCATTTTCCCTGCCTCCCCCTTCTGGTCCATAGGTCGATTCTCTGGCTGCAAGTCGAAGTAAAATTTTGCGGCTGGAGAAGTCCATAGCTCGAAAAATACATAAGTGGAGCCGTTCATAATTCGAGACTCCCCTGTAATAAATTTCAGTCTATGCCTGTGGAACTAGAAAGACCAGGAATAATGCTTAGTTGAAAAAGTTTCTGTCATTGAAACACAGTCTTAATAATATATTTATGTATTAAACAAAAATGAGACATTGTTAACCTTGTATCACATAAAAGGTTCCATGTAAGACTCAATGTGTGTCAAACAGTTAAAAAAACAAACACCATTTTTGGTGTGCTATATGTGCTCTGCAATTCCAGTGTTAATTTTTTAATTTTAAAACACACTGCAGCCTTAGCCCTATTCAGGCATGCTTTGAAACATGTGAAGATGACACTTGTTAAAAGAAGATGATCAGTCCTACCTCTCTCTTTCACCTTGAGAATCACAGAAATGTGTTCGTCTAAAGAGGAACAGGCTGCTTTACTCAGCTTCACAACCTCCCCAAGTTAGTGTTCTGGATCATGAGGAAAGACTCGCTGAGTCCAGCGACCGCTGCTTCTTCATGTTTATGTGACTGAAGAAAACATGGAGGAGGCAAGATGAGGACATTCTCAATGGGCATGGACTCTGCCCATTTTAAAGCATAACTGAATAGGGTCTTCAGAGGCTGCTGCTGAAGAGGATCACCAGTATGAAAGGAAAGAAAACTCTTAAATTGTTTTTCATGGCATTTCTTTGCTTGAAATACAGTATTTTGTCTGAAGAGAAAGTAGTATTGTAGGGTACTGAGGTTCTGTCTACAACAAGAGTGAATAATAGCTGGGGTGACGTGAGGTGGGTGTGCAGCAGAAATATGGAGGAGAGAGGAGGATTTAAGACATGACTCCTTTCTATGCTAACTATCTGCCTTTATACCAAAACACTGTTCAAGACTGCATTACGAACAGGTTATAAATAAAATGAGATTTCAAGTTCTCCATAAGTCTTCATCAGTTAAGAATGGTATGAAACCTGGTATTTATACTGAGTTTTACATCATCTTCACCTAACAAAGAATTCTGGAGAACTTAAAAGCTCATTTTATTTGTAACTTCTGGTGAGCCAGTAAAGTTGTTGCCCAAATTCAAACTGTTTCTATGAATGGATCCCATAGCCATTTTTTGTATTTCATATTGAAGTCTCAGAGGTTGCACTCTGTAAAATTGTTGAGAAAGACTGAAAAAGGAGCCTCTGAACCAAGCTTTTGTTTGACTCTTTTTTCCTCTGAATAATTTAATTCTTGTCTTAAATACATCAAGATCCTAATTGGTTTAGGTTTTTATTGAATGTGGTCTTTTATCATTAATATTGGTGGGTTTGCCACTGATTTCCCATAAATCATTATATTTGTTGCTTTATATGCTATTAGTCTTAGAACTGGATTATAATTACAGTAAATCTAAATATCTAGGCTTTCTCAGTGCCTGAAAGTCTGGCCAGTACCTTTAGGAGAAAAGTTCTTGGCTTCAAAAATGTATAATCCAGCTCACTAAGTCTTATATCAGTTGCAAAAGCCCTTTGTGTATTAAAATGATGGGTGCTGTGATGTTTTGCCTGAAGTTTTCAGTTCTGCTTACTGTAAAATGTACTTTAAAGCTAACATCATTATACTTAATGATTTGGGTAACTGAAGGAAGATTTTGGCCTGAACCTAAAAACCACTTTCTCTGTTTATGTGCTGCCTACTCCCTAATCATTTCTGACCAAGGCCTTCTTTTTGTTGCTGTTGTATATCATTCTTGTCACCCCTACAGAGGGAGATAAAATATAGTATAGATCACTGACAGTCACGCTAGTTAGTTAAATTCAGGGTTAAGATCCATATTTTCTTCCCTATGCAGGAGAGCTCCAGCTTGTTGGAAGTTGTAATCAGTTCTAGTTCAGGGGTACATGGTGTTTTCAGTCTGGAGGCGGGCATCCAGGATTACCTGGCTGGGTGTCACACATGCATGTACACAGATGCACATTGTTCTCCTGTACATGCTCATATAAAAATCTACTCTCTCCCTCCACATACATTTTAGCACAGAGAAGTCTGTGATGTGGGGGCAGAGGTGAAAGCCTCTCATATCCTCCCATGATCTCCACTGCTACTAGCAGCAGTAAGAGAAGAATTTGGAAACCAAGAACACAATCCTGCCTCCCAGCCCTGCAGCCCAGCTAAACAGCTGGATTGTGGAGAAAGATGGGTGGGATCATTGGAGGCTGGTGGCTCCATTGTCAATAGGATGGTGAATCCATTTATGGTTTTAGTTCAGATTTTTCAAGAGGCATTACAAAATTGATTCACCACTTCACTGACATGGGAGCCACTCACCTCCACTTATCCCATACTGTATATCGTATACCATTAGCTGGTTCACTGGATGGGAACTCTGTTCCTTGGAATCCCAATCTCTGTGCTGCAGGATGTACCGTATATTTCCATCTATAAGACTACTTTTTCCTAAAATCATTACCCTAAAAATTAAGGGGCATCTTTTACACAGAGGTAAGCAGAGATAGCTGAATAGAGAACAAAACAGCACACACCTTGCCTCTCTAAACAGTCTTGCTTCATCCACGAGGCTTAGCTTCCTACAGTCAGGAGACCGCTCCCGCCAATCATGAGCCTTATGAAACTGACGTCAACTGATCCTGAACAAACCAATTGGAACACACCTCCTTGGAGGTGGAGCCTGTAGGCTCAGATGCAATAAGGACTTGTATTGTCCAAGTGTTCTGAGCCCGGAGGCTGAATCCTCGAAGATAAGTTTTCTTAATTTTGGAGTTAGAAAATTGGGGTGGCGTCTTATAAGTAGGGACGTGCTATAAATGGAAAAATACAGTAGATGTTATTTGTAAATGTGCAACTGTGCAGCTCTTGGTTACTCAATGCTTCAAGAGAAGGGTGATCTCCAAGGTGCAAATGGTGCAAGGAAGAAGAGTGTGAGGAAGAGGAGAAGTATTCTCATTGATTTAAACTAGGATAGTGACTCACATGGAAACAAACTGTTCTCTGGAATGCACAAGTTCTGAAACAGCTGCTTGACAGTATTTTCCCTAATACAGAATTATAACTCCAATTCATCCACTGGTAATGTCTGAAAAATTGTTAGAAATTGAATGAATCTCACCATTCTTCCCATAGAATGATACAAAATGTGGCTCTGAGGTTCTTATAGGAAAGTAGAAGCTCTATGTCCTGTACTAATTTATATTAATTTTGATTGTCACTTCTAACTAATGATACTGTAATGTATGTTTATGTCTGCGTCAGGGACAGGAGACTCCGGTACATTAGCCCATCCCTAGTGCATACAGTTATCTCACCATATTAAAAAGTTTATGGTGACTGATTGAAATAGGAACCACACAGCTTGACTGCACGGTGGAATGGCACAGTCCTTGCTTCCTGGGTAGAACACCCAGCATATTATTTATTTTATTTATTTATTTGATTCTCACCATATTAAAAAGTTTATGGTGACTGATTGAAATAGGAACCACACAGCTTGACTGCACGGTGGAATGGCACAGTCCTTGCTTCCTGGGCAGAACACCCAGCATATTATGCAAGCATAAGCTTACACTGCTCTTAAACAGGATTCCAGCCACTGTGTGTGATTTGAAATTTAAAATGGGCCCATCTGCTGCTACCAGTGATGTCATTCCCACTGTGCAGGCAGAGGTATGCAACAGGGTATTGGCTGCTATGTCAAAACATGAGGATATGTGAAAAACAGATGATGGAACAGCATTCAATGGCCCAGTGGTTCTTTCCTTTGTTTGTTTGTCAGACATCTAGCATATTTCCAGACTTTATGTAACAATCTTGATGTCTTGTTTACCTTTGCCTTTTTCTGGCAACAACTTTTGTGCCAAAATTAAAGCAGCAGGGAGGGGGATGAAACTATAGCTATACCACTGTACATACAATCCCCATTCTGCTTGTAATACTATTTGGAGTTAGCCTTTTAAAAAATCTGGTGGAGATATTTTGTTTAAGGAAATATATGTTGTTATGTTCTCCCTAGTAGCTGATGATGGATTCCATGATGATGGAAATGGTTTAGTAGAGGGCTCAACAGACTTGTGGGATCTACTTTGTGTTCTGTTCAAGATTCACTAACTGGGGCCTGATATAGATTTAGAATTAAAACATTCTGGACTCATTTTAAACAAATGGCTAAGTACAGTTCCCATGCCATCTTGACTAAACGGCTTGGACCCTGGATACCTGAAGGACCGTCTCCTTACATATGAACCTACCCAGCAGTTAAGATCTAGCCAGGGGGCCCTTTTGAAAGAGCTGTTCCTTAAGGAGGTAAGAGGGACGGCTTGTAGACAAAGGGCCTTTTCGGCAGCGGCCCCAAGATTATGGAATGCTCTCCCAACTGAGATTCATCTGGCGCCGATGCTGATGACATTTCGGCGCCAGGGCAAAACCTTCCTGTTCCAGAAGGCTTTTAATTGAAATAATATTAGCTGTGGGTCCAATGCAATTTTTATATATTTTTAATTGTATTTTAATTGTTCTTAATTTTTATTGTATTTTAAATGTTGTAAGTCGCCCAGAGACCTTTGGGTAGTGTGGGCGGCATATAAATAAATAAATAAATAAATAAAATCCAATCCTGGCTGCCTCATACTCTATCTCAGGAGTATAATTCAGGGTGGGGGGCATTGTGCTGTGTCTGTTGTTAAAGGCATGGTTTGAAATCCTTGGTGATCTGTTAATTGCAAAGAGGTCTCCGAGTAGGTCCAGAACTATTTTCTACTCACTCATGATGTAATAAACAAATTCATGGGTTGATCATTTTAGGATGTAACAGTGGATATAGTGTTAGTAACCCAATGCCAAAGTAAATTAATCAACTTCTTGTACAAGTAATGTTGGCAACCTTGATTTTATTTTCCAAAATATAAATTATAATATGTATTATTTAGGTTATTTATATCTGCTAGAGACTGTTGCCCTGCAAATATACAGTATGCTACTAATGTTCTAAGAAAACATGGGGAAACAAAGTTGTTGGCATAGGACTGTGAAGCTCATTTTCTCCCAAGTTCTCGAACATTTCATCCAGATAGAATGGCTACAAGTGCTAAAAAGACCATTAGTCTTCCTGAAGTTCATTTATCTTTCGTCGTATTTTCTTCATGTCCTGCTTGAACTTCTCTTCCTCAAGTTTCAGCTTTGTTGTCTGTATCTGTTTAAGTGCATTCAGAGAATCCCGAATGGATTGGAAACCTGGGGAAAAAATCATGCAAAAGACAAAGTTGACAAACACTACTCAATATTTCTATTTTGTTTCAAGTTTGTTAATCCTTCCGCTATATACTACTTGTATGGTTTGAGATATACTGAAATAGTTCTGTCTTATTCCATGAAGACACAGTTTTTAAAATGGAGTTTTCTGGGAGATGTTTCATCTACAGAAATCTTTTTCTCATGCTCAACATTTCTGTCATTGTGAAAATCTTTCTCTGTGGGATCATCATAAAAATTATAAAATATTTATTTGCAATCTACCACAGAGGTAAGTAATACTGAAATCTCCACAATGGCTATAATTTCTGACTTTTTAGCTGTGATTGTTTTACACATTTTGAGGTATTTTGTGGCTTTTCTTAACTGGGAGCGCATCTGTCTGGCTTTTAGTTCTTGAAGAGATCACTGGCACAATGATCTGGTGCACATACTGCAGGAAATCTCTTGTGACCAGGAGTCCTTTGGCACTGTAAACAGGAACAAGTTTTATTAAGCATAAACATTTGTGGATTGTAACCTTTCCCTCCAGTCCACAAAGATTAAGATGAGTAAAACATGTTTGCTCCATTAAAGCTCTTTTGGGAGTTTTTTTTTTCTGCAATAGATTAACATAGCTACTCCCTGGGAAATTTCTTGCAATTCTCCAGGATATCTTGTCATAAAGGAGTGATATGTGAACCTAGCTTTCTGCAGCAATGACATGTGCAGGCCAGATAAGTATGTGAAAACTATGTGATAAATGTGTCCTTATGGACAGCTAGTTCAAGTTGCATGAAGCAAGACCTTGGAGAAGTTGCTTTTTTGGACCATGAATTGAAAAATAAGTGAATGACACCAGCAGTATGATGAAGTAACTGTTAAATGGCAGGTGAGATATCAGAAAGTAACCTTACAGCAGATATTTAAACACCCCACAGTGTCTCTCTCACCACACACGCTCCACATATATATACAGTACAGCCCCTCCTCCTGATGTCCCGCCTTCCACTCCCCATAGGATGGAACTTTCCCTCCAAACCCATGACAGACAGGTAACATCAGTGCTGTATGTAACAGTTTCGTCTACAGAAATCTTTTTCTCATGCTCAACATTTCTGTCATTGTGAAAATCTTTCTCTGTGGGATCATCATAAAAATTATAAAATATTTATTTGCAATCTACCACAGAGGTAAGTAATACTGAAATCTCCACAATGGCTATAATTTCTGACTTTTTAGCTGTGATTGTTTTACACATTTTGAGGTATTTTGTGGCTTTTCTTAACTGGGAGCGCATTTGTCTGGCTTTTAGTTCTTGAAGAGATCACTGGCACAATGATCTGGTGCACATACTGCAGGAAATCTCTTGTGACCAGGAGTCCTTTGGCACTGTAAACAGGAACAAGTTTTATTAAGCATAAACATTTGTGGATTGTAACCTTTCCCTCCAGTCCACAAAGATTAAGATGAGTAAAACATGTTTGCTCCATTAAAGCTCTTTTGGGAGTTTTTTTTTTCTGCAATAGATTAACATAGCTACTCCCTGGGAAATTTCTTGCAATTCTCCAGGATATCTTGTCATAAAGGAGTGATATGTGAACCTAGCTTTCTGCAGCAATGACATGTGCAGGCCAGATAAGTATGTGAAAACTATGTGATAAATGTGTCCTTATGGACAGCTAGTTCAAGTTGCATGAAGCAAGACCTTGGAGAAGTTGCTTTTTTGGACCATGAATTGAAAAATAAGTGAATGACACCAGCAGTATGATGAAGTAACTGTTAAATGGCAGGTGAGATATCAGAAAGTAACCTTACAGCAGATATTTAAACACCCTCCTTGACTGATAATGTTTCAACTGAAAAGGCAAGGCAACTAACACCAAATTTTTTACCAAGCATCCTTTACCAAAACACAGAAAGACTATGAACTTCTCTCTTCCTGATCAGATTTGTTAAGTATATCTAGAGGATGAGAATGTTAGCTTTCTTCTTTAAAGTAATTTTAAAAAGCATCCTCTCACCTGATCTATATTCATTCTGGATTTCCTCCAGTTCATTCCATATCAGTTTTTCAAATCTAGTTATCCGTACATGGAGTTTATTCTGATCATTTTTCACTTGGCTCAGCTCTGTGTTAAATGCCTCTGCTTTATCTGTGCTTTCGATCCTTTTGGAGATGAGATAAAAACCATCTTCCATTCTCTTTTCTACTGTTTCCTTTTGAAAGACACATGAAAAATTAGTGGAATTGCCAAAATAATGAGTGTATAGAGTTTCTTATAGAAGTGGCTTTCAAGTGTATGTATTGCAAATTATTTGCTACATAAACACAATACAACATTTTAAAAATCCTAACGAAATTCCATAGTTTTACACTGAAGCAAGATTTTTTTTACTTCTGTAGTGCCATGATTATGCTTCATGAGAGAAATAAAAGCATGTCAATTGAATAGAAATTCTTACTTTCAGGTAGCAGTCACAAGTTTGAGTTGAGAACCTGTCTGATGTAATGGCTGGATAGAATTTAACTAGGAGCCATGAGAAAGCTGCTATCAATGAAACCCGCTGGATAATTTTTGGATCAGTCATCATCTTTCAGCATAACCAACCTCACAGGGCTGCTGTGTGGATAAAACTGGCAAACCATGTATGGCATCTTGCGTTTGAACAAAAGGAAGAGTATTTAAGTTAATAATGCCAAGGGATATCCTGGATAGGAAACAAAGGGCATTGTGACACCTCAATGACAGATTTATTTCACTGTGAGCCGAAATACATCTTTTAGTCTTTAAGGTGTCACAGGTCTTTGTTTTTGTTTGTATCTTGGTTATGTTTCTGTTGCACATGCTCAGACAGACTAACGCTCTGTGACTAATGCCCAGTGGGGATTAGTAAAGAACTGACCTTTACATCACAGTAGCCACGCAAGGGCATCTCTTTACTGCCTAACAAATGTCATACTCATTAATGGTAACTGCCTTCAAAGAGCAAATTAGCAAACAAAAATGCGAGCTCTTGTAACGGCATGGCTTATGGCATTAGTCCAAGAAATTTTCAGGTTGATTTGAATATACCCTTCAGGGCAATTGCAAGGGATGTTCTAGATCTACATTCCATATGTGTCCTAACCAGGGCAGATCCACTGAAACCAAGAAAATTTGTAACAATCAAATATACTTCATTTAGTTGTTATCAAGCCCACTGTCATCATTTTTGTATGGTATTGTAGATAGTTCAGTTCTCCTACCGGAAGCAAAATTATGAAGGGCCATGGATTTTTCACCCTCTGTTTCTAATTATGGCAATAAGTATAGACATAATGACCTTTCAAAATCGGCTCCTTAGCCTATTGCAGCAAGCATTTATATAGTCTCTTGACCGTGGTGGTTATATGAGAAAGCCAAGAGTGAACTTGCTGGGAAGGAAACATGCTGCAGATTAAACAAAAACATTTCCAAGATGGTGCAAAAAGTTTTTAAGCAATAGTATTTGTGAACTATTCATCATTACTGCCAAACAACACGCTTACGATCGTCATCTCAGAACTCAGAAGGGACCCTATGGATCACTGAATCCAGCCCTTGTCAAAGAGGCACAGTAGAGAATCAAAATCCCAACCTCTGTCTCCACAGCCAAATCCCTAAATCACTGAGCTGTCCCAGCATGATTAAATGTGTCTGATAAAATTGGACATCAGCAAGCAAATAAGACCTTCATTAGAAAACATGACCAATTTTTTTACTAAAGCTTTGTCTGCAAAAAATCAACAAATGTATGCATTTGGCAAAAATGCTATGATTAAATGTGTCTGATAAAACTAACTGGACATCAGCAAGCAAATAAGACCTTCAATAGAAAACATGACCAATTTTTTACTAAAGCTTTGTCTGCGGAAAAACAACAAATGTATGCATTTGGCAAAAATGCTTTGGTGTATCTTTTTAAAAGAATGTACTTCCTGGAGATTTCCATATGTTATTCAGATCATGACAAAATTTGGTAAACAAAAGAGGGAATGGGAAAAATGTTGATCCCAAGTGAAATTATTTTCTGAAGGAAAACACAATTTAAGAAAATGGGAGATGAGAGAATTGCTTTGTTCTTATTCTTATTATTGCCATACTGTTCACCCTAGCAATGTGATCTATGTGAAAAGGAGGCTGTACATCCTTATAACATTTTCACCCTAGCAATGTTATCTAGATTGTGAAAAGGAGGCTGTACATCCTTATAACTAAGGGATAGCAGCAAGGTCAATTTCTACATGGTTGTGGAACTTAGCAACATTAGCAGCTAAAAATCTTCAAGTAAATAAAGAGCAATGGAGCTTTCCGTGCAGACAATCAGAAGGACTGCCCCAAAGCAAAAGGAAGTGGGTATTGATTGGGAGTCTCATTCAGGAAGTGGGGGCCTTACCATTTTGAACCTTGTCCAAACTGCAGCCCTAATATAGGTGGTAGGACATATATGTTTAATTTGCATTGCAAAAAAGTGAACCATTCCATTTAATAATCAGTTTTTGGCAATACAAATTGCAAGTCCAGGTTCTAATCTTGAGGTCCATTGGGTTAAAGCATTAAATACCTATATCCTGCAAATATGTTGGAGGAGGGAAACAAAATATGTAATTCCCTCTCTGTTTATTTTATTTTTATGTAATGTCTTTCATGGCCTAAGGCCATAAAAGACGTATATGCAGTGACAGTCTCTACTGTTTTGACTAAAGAACTGTTTTGACTAAAGAATGGAGTAAAAAAGGCTTTGGATCAATGGAAGGAATAAACTGCATTCTGAGCAGCATTGTATGTATTATGTCTATTGATGCTGCTGCATTGATACTAAATGTTTCTAGTCAACGTGACTGCTGTAATTCATCTGCTTCCAATAAGGAGAAGCTTTCCAAAGTAAGCTCTGGGCTCTTAAAGTGGACAAAAGAAGCTGTAGGTCTGTTCTGCTAATTGGTGGGCAATCTCCCACAAAGCCTTAAGTCTCCAAACTTCAGAGGATCCTAACGTTTCATATTTTTTAGATAACAAAGGCTGATTTTCAGTTTTGATACTTCACTATATAAAACATGTCGTCAAAACACAGTGCCCAGTCTCAATAAATCTGGGATTTGTGATGATTTTGCTTTTCAGACTCTTGCAATGAAAGTCTAAAATGATTGAAAACATCACTTCCTCCTGTGGCTTGAGTTATGACATGAACCTTTCCAGCTGGATCAAGAATTCTGTGAGAGAAGCCTTAATTCAGATACCAGTAAATATTGAGAGCCTTGATCCCGAAACAGGGATTTCCTGAAGCTGAACACTCTAGTTAAGTGCTTGCATGGAGCCAGGAGTTCTGCAGCTGTCAAGAACTGAATGGTTATTTTCAATGCAGTTCTTTGAAAAAATGCCACACTGCCATTGATGGGAGATTCATTTAAATTCAGCACATTATGACTTTACCTGGGGCTGGAGGAATGATACCCACAGCAGAAGGTGATAAAACTTTAAAAATCTATTTCTGATGTTTCATTTAAGAGAATTAATGTTTTCCTATTGCCTCCTGAAAGCTGTGTGTTGAACACAAAGGGCAGGGCTCAACAAGGTCATTCTGCTGACTCAACTACTTCCACCAGCGAAGCCAGGAGCGAAGCAACTCCCTCTCCCCTCTTCAATGGCTCACAGGATTGGCAAACCCAACAGAACAGATTGTTGAGTGGTATGGAAGGCATCACTGTTTCAGTGCCACAAGACCCCCAAAGACATGCCTTGTCTTGGTTGATACTGGAAACTAACCAGAGTCAGACCTGTTTAATACTTGGATGGGAAACCACCATGGAAAAATAAAGGTCGTATTGGGGCAGGGCCATAGCTCAGGGCTGGACCACATGACTCTCCTACGGAAGGTCCTAAGTCTAATTGCCAGCATCTTCTGGCAGGAATAGGAAAGACTCCTGATGGAAATACTAGAGAGTTCTCCCCAGTGAGAGTTGGCAACACTGGACTAAATGGACAAAGTTTTGATTGCATATGCAACCCCTCCTATGTTCCTATGAGGTGTGGGAGAGAAAGCCCCATCATCTTTGCAGGTATCTATGAATATGACATATACTTTAGGGAAATAGTTTAACTGTCAAAAAATAATGAATCTCAGTCTCTGGTAATAAAATTTCCTTCAGGTGCTTCTGCTTCCCATTTGCATCCATTTCTTCCTTTTCTCAGTTTCTTCTACTCAATCCTTCTCTTTGCCTGAATCCACCACCACATTCTTAGTGCTCGAAGAGGCACACTATGGTTCACTAAAATACTGCCTGGATCTCAACCTGCATTGCTTCTGGCTGGAGAACCATTATGTGTTCTAATAGTACTTTCACAAGGGGAGGATTTCAGCAAGTCTAACCAGGCCCAACATTGTTCGCATGGGGCTTAACACGTATTCTTACCATTCTGTCCTTCATTGTGCCAAGAAGTTGATTTGTAAGATAGACTTGCCCTTGTTCATATCTCCTCACTTCATTTTCTGTCCATTTTCTTTGATTTTGAATTTGTTCTTTAAAGTCATTTAAAACACCACTGACCCTAATATTGAAAGAGAATGAGGCTTAATTTCTCATGGTGGTATGAATATTATACCAGTTAAAATCTGAGCCCTATTCAAACCCATGTACAGTAACTATAAAACTACTGTACTTAAACCTTTGAAGTGGCTCAACTATTCTTCAGCTTTATGTAAAATTATGCGCTTTGGAGCTGATATACCTCAGTGGGTTAGAACACCTACCCCAGGAGCTCAAATCCACACTGTGCTTCCTAGTAGAGAGGCCAGCCAGCTAGGACTACTCACAGTATGTGTGACTGATGGGATTATGTATCCTGAAGGCTGTGTAGTTCCACAGCACCACCAGAAGGAAGTGGTAAATCACTTTTGATTATTTTATACCCAGGGAGGGATAGTCTCAGCTTACTTTAGAGTGCATTATTAACATTTTTACATTATCAATTAACATTTTTATATCATTTTGTTGTTTTGTTACCTCAGATTACCTCTGTCAAGACAACTAGTTTTATCTGTGTGGTAACATGAATCAAACAATATTTGGTAATCACCACAAAATCATTTCTACTGCAAATGCCACATATTTTCAGTTTTTAATTAATGTAAGCTTGGGACTTCTTTTGAAGTCTGAATTTTCAAATCTTTCATCCACCAAGCAGGAGGAGACAACATCTGCTTACACATTCACCAGGTAATATAATATCTTCATTGGATGTAATTGGACTTCAATTGGCTTCTATCTGGCGAGAAAGCCAAAACTACAGCAATCCTAGTGTTCTGATGGAGATTGCTATGTCTGTGTATGGTCTTTCCTCCCCACAAACCATTAAGGAAACTTGTACTCCAAAGGAGGCTATGTTGAGGCTTATGGAGAGTGATGGGCTGCCTCTGGCTGAATATGGTGGAAACTTCAAACCACATAGCAAGGGGTGAAGCATTAAACCACACCCCCACACACTGCCGTTTACCAGCTTGAAACACACCTTAAGATTTTGCCTGGCAAACTTTGCTATGCAGTTTTGGGACATTCATTTATTTTTCCACTGAAGACAGTACTCCTAATATGATAATCCCGAAAATGGAAAGTGATGTAAACACCCTTGCACGTCTAAATGAATATAGATAGAATAAAAAGTAAAATGAAAAATATATTCTTTGATTTGCAATTAAATACAAGAAGCAAAATCTGCTTTGAAAGAGAGCAAGAGCTTTTAATTTAATTTTTCTTTTTGGCAATGCACTGCAAGGAATGTAGCAATGTATTTCTACCAAATTTTTCTCTTTCTTGTTCTGTCAGGATTCCCAAATGTACATAAAACAATGGTTCCGTTTCGCTCTCTCATGCCAACTCCCTCAGTCTCTAAAGCACTTCACCAGGCACATTAACAGAATTAAAAAGCTTTGATCACCTACTTAAGATCCAGGAGCTGCAGTTCATGATGCTGATTCCCTTCTATTGCCTTTAAATTTGAGTTTTGTTCTGAGTTGGAAGTCTCTAACTTTCCTAAAAGCTGCATTACCTAAGAATAATTCAACAGGGAATAGTTTTTATGAGGCAGAACTCCAGCAATTACATTAAATACACATTATTGCTGCAGTGATGTGAAAAGCCAGAATTTCAAGCAGGCCTATTATTTCCTCAGAATTGATTTAACAGAGTAATAAGGGCTTGCCACCAGTTTGGCCAAAGTAACTATTAGTACCCAGAATTCTTCGGATCTAATTTTCTGTACAGTGGGTATGCTATCAAACATCATATGTTAAGTTAAAACTGCAAAGATCAACTATGCTGTAGAATTCTTTCCTTTAACATGCTAAGTATATATAGAGAGCTCTTCCATGTGTTTACTTCTGAATATGCACCTCAACTCTGTGTATGTGTATAAGGGAGAGTAAAGAATAAAAAAAATTAATGTTGTCTTCTTCTTCTCTACCTCTCTATCTTATGCTTAATGTCTCTTTATACCTCAGTTCGTTGGAGTGCCAGGCTGCAGCACCAGAGGCATGAGTTTGAATCCTCCCAAGACAAGGGGCCAGCCAAGATCACAAGGAACATACATGGCTTATGGCATTACGTTCCCTGCCACCTGAATGACTCTGGACAAGCTTCATGATCCTGGAGCACCCCCAGAAGTAGACACTGATTGGTAAACCACTTCTGAGGACTTTATACCTAGAACTGGTAAACCACTTCTGAGGATTTTATACCTAGAAAACCCTGAGAGGGTCACCATGAGTCAGAATCAACTTGAGGGCCTGCCTTTTCCCTGGTGCTTCACATGACTGTATTATTTACTTATCATGGTTTCCATTGATTGTGGGATCAGTTTTTAGTCAAAGAGCTGGGTCTCCAAAACATTGTTGATGACATTTTTTGAGGTGAAATAGTTTCCCTCACATCCTCTTATTATTTAAGAAATAAGAACTGTGGGAGACTGGAAAACAAAACCTTACTGTCATATTATGGAACCACAACAACATTTTGAATTTTTAGTCAGAAGAGAAGATCCACCACATACTACTTGCTGAAGAATAATTTTCATCTGCAGAAAAACAGGTTTACTTAGAAAAGTAGATGAGACTTGAATATCTCAAAATAGTCAGTGAAATTTATTTATTTATTGGATTTTTACCCCGCTCCTCTAGACAATGTCTACTCGGGACGGCTTACAAATAAAACACGGCATTATATACATATGTAAAATCATTAATAAAATTTCAGTTATTTACAATTTTCATTACAGTTTGAGTAATTGATTACCTAAGCATTACCAAGATGGCCTACCATGAGGAGAAAGAAAAAAAAATGGGGTAGAAATCACTTAATTGACTGGAGGGAAGGCCTGTTTAAATAGCCGAATTTAGGAAAACTACCTGCAGCACTAGTGTACATAGAGAAGAGAATCATTAGTAAAATTTCAGTTATTTACAATTTTCATTACAGTTTGAGTAATTGATTACCTAAGCATTGCCAAGATGGCCTACCATGAGGAGAAAGAAAAAAAATGGGGATAGAAATCACTTAATTGACTGGAGGGAAGGCCTGTTTAAATAGCCGAATTTAGGAAAACTACCTGCAGCACTAGTGTACATAGAGAAGACACTGATGTATGCATAGAAGACATTTATGGTGAACATCTGAAAGCCCAAGCCAGGAGTTCATAAAAATGAGACATTAATAAAAAAAGGTATATAATAAAAAGAATATGAAATAAGTGTTTACATAACTCTCAAGAGTATTTTTTCCAGTGGTCAGGGAAGACTCCAGAATTGGTGACATCTAATACAAAATGTCATCCGTGGAGGCTCACATCTGCTGAAGGCAATCTCTGGCTGCAAGCCAAAGTCTGCCATTTACCACAATGCTCCAAAACAATTCTTTTGGATGATCCAGGGAATTGTGGGAAAGCTGCTCCCCCCATGCAGAGCAGCTAGCCTCAATGGGTCCTCAGGATACTGAGGCAATTGGCCAAGGGTGTCAGGCATCATCTGACACATCACCTGTCAGTGAGTTACTAATCTATATATTTCAAAGCAGGCAGGTGGTGCCAGATGGGGATTAACGTCAATATGCAATGGTGCAAAGCTGTCTAGAACCCCCCCCCACCCCTTAATCTCAGATGCATGAATTCTGGCAGTAGTTACCAGATGGTAGTGAAATACTTCTTAATCTCAGATGCATGAACTCTGGCAGTAGTTACCAGATGGTAGTGAAATACTGTAGTTTCTATCTGGCATAAGCAAGTGTATCCTTTTTTTAAAAAAAAGATGTTTCAGGACTAGCATTCATACTCAGAACAGATCTTGTAGCATGATCTACAAATATATCAAGATTAGTAATTAGTTTTTAGATTCCCATAATGATTAAACTGTAATTCTTTCAGAACTTTGGCATCTTTTTTAACATTTAAGACTCCATTCTTGGCGTGTTTTTGTATTTTGCAGTTTTGTATATTCTTAATATGTTTATGTGCTCTTTTGTACAGTGCTTATTTTTAAGAGCTAGAGAAATAATAAATATTTGGATCACTTCACGATCTTTGCACTGCAACATGGTATTGCGATTGAACTGTAATTCTTTCAGAACTTTGGCATCTTTTTTAACATTTAAGACTCCATTCTTGGCGTGTTTTTGTATTTTGCAGTTTTGTATATTCTTAATATGTTTATGTGCTCTTTTGTACAGTGCTTATTTTTAAGAGCTAGAGAAATAATAAATATTTGGATCACTTCACGATCTTTGCACTGCAACATGGTATTGCATCATACTTCTGGTTACTATGATTTCACCCCAGCTGTGTCTCAGACATAAACATCCCAGAATGCAAAACAAGTTTCATGTTTATCATTGGTGTTTCTCAGTAGTTTCATATATAAAGTGGGATTGGGATGCTATTTGGCATCCCTCACTCACAGATTATGGTAATATTTTCCTTCACTCCCACTCACCTTCATTTCTATATTATTTGCATAATTTTCCAAAGAAGACTGGATGGTGTGAATTTCTCTCTCTAGTTTTGAAATCTCGTGCCTGATGATATTTATATCTCCAGAGAGTTTTGCAATACTGGCATCACACCTAGAAATGTTAATTGAGGATGAAACAATAAACAGAGTTAACAGTCACCGTAAATCACCCCATAATTCTCGACACCATCATTCCCCTAACAGAGTACAGTATCCATTCAAATCAGGAATAACTGATATGTCACATACTTACCTCCTTGACTCTTACCAATTTTTAAAATCTAAGTAAAGCATCTCATGTGAGGCTTCAAACAACAATTGGTACAGAATATGGCTCATTTATTATTTACACTGATGTAAGATGCCTCCTTATTCATTGTTCATAATTTTTAAATATCGTCTTCTAATGATGTTAACCACCATTGTATACTCATTGTTTTCAATATTGTATACTCATTGTTGTAAGCCACCTTGGGTCCTTTTCAAGGAGAATGGCCGGGTAAAAAACATTTTAAATAAATAAAATATTTTTTTTCACACTCTTTCTAAAATGTGCCTGGAATGTGTTCTTTAAGCCTCTATAAATAAGCAAATGCCTTAAAATCACAACTTTCTTTATTGATAGGTATCACTGGCAGTTTCTAGCAAGGGGGTACAATTCGGTCTCTAGTTTAAGTCCCCATGCAGCCAAAGTCTACATTTTGTCTGGAAAGGTTAGCTGGCAAAGACAAACAGAGCAGAACAATTAAGTCATGGTTTCTCATGATATCCTTAACCACAGCTGTCTCCCATGTTCTGACTTCCCACAATCACTGATCACTGGCCATGCCAGCTGGGACTGATTAAGGTTGGGGCTGAACCATGTCTGGAGGGTAAGACATTCCCAATCTCTGCTCAGTACTTAGATCTGAGACCTCTCAATCTTGTTTACACAGAATCTTCCTCAACCTATCACATCAACTGATGCGTATGTTTCTTGTTCTGCTTTGTCAAGTAGTTCCATAACAAACTCATGTAGTGTCTAGCAACCCCCCTTTTGATAAGTAAGACAAAGCCTGTCTACATTTTTTAAAAAATCCACAATATGTAGCATTTTAATTTTAGCCAACTCAAGTCACGTGGTTTTTGAGTTGTTTCCTGCCTTCCTACTGAGTAGTTGAAGTGCTCCCTTTTAAAACTGGCTGTAAGATTTACAATGTGCTTAAGTCACTTCCTAAGAAAACAAATTGGGGCGGGGGAATTCATACTTTGGAATTCATTATATCCGTGAAGATTCTCAGTCATCCAGGTGAGATTATCTGGAACTTTAATCATGGCAACTGGACTTCTTTCTTATTAGGCTGAAACATTTTGCTACTTATCCAGGTAGCTTCTTAGATCCCAGGTTTTTTTCTGCATGACCAGGCCCACAGTTGACTAGCCCTCCTTTTCTTTGTCTGGGAATAGTTCTTCCAGGAGCACCCTGAGATTTTTGTTGTTTTGTTTTGCTGTTGAAGGCTATGACTATCTTAGAGCTTGGAACACTGTGATATAAGGAAAGTCACAATGCTAGACTAAAATCAGCCTAGGAGGCTCCTAGAGCTGAGGTACCTATCTATGCATCCCATTGTCCTATGATTCTTGTCCAGTAAAACATCATTGTGGCTACATATGGCACATCTCCCTACATTTTTTATTTACCCTGCCACTAAAATGTTCACTCTACTTCCTTAAGTTCTGGGACAGTTCATAAGTGAATGTGGAACTTACCTTTTGCCTGCTTTCCAGTACTTGGTTCTTAAGAGCATCCTATCCAGCTTCCACTCCAAAGGAATTAATCTGTGGCCTCCTTTTTCTTACTGTCCTTTCAATGTTTCACCTGTCTCTTCTCCAGGTCAAAACAACATGGAATTGCATGGCACCCTGAAGACTGGTCAGTTTATTCTGGCAAAAGCTTTTGTGGACTACAGCCTGCTTTATCAGCTACATGCAGTGTCAGCTGAGGCTGGCAGATACACAATATATAAGTGTAAAGAGAAGGGAGATATTTTTCTCTTTTTTCCTTGCATCCTAGCAGTCAATTGAAGGTGGCATCCCATTTATCTGATAATAAGTGGGCTCTGAGCCACAAAAACATAGGCCAAAATAAATTGCTCAGCCTTTGAATAGCCACAAAACTGTTTGCTGTTTCTGTTGCAGCTGGCTAACTTCGATACTCCTCTGCAAATTCCCTGAGACAGTCTTGAAGCCAAAGCATAACCTCTCACTTCACTTTGTCACTAAAAGCTCCTTTTCTGGAAAAGCTGTGATCTCACCTCCTATTGCTCTCTTCCAAGCACCTTATGGAGGCAGTCTGCTACAGAGACAAATGTTCGTAAGACACACACACCGTGCTCCTGTGTATTTTGGCCAACGTGCTAACTTCAGGACAGCTCTTCAAGACTGATTGCAACATATTCTCTTTCAGAACATGGCCAGTTTCCCACTGTCCCTACTGTTCAGCCAAATTCCACTAATTATTCAGGTTGCAGAAGAGCTTATTCTCTGTACATGGAACAGTATGTTTCAAACAAATAAAGGCTGAAATCTTGTTACTTAGTGTAGTAAGTTGCAACTTACCACACTAAGGATTTAGTGAGTCAACTCTTCAAGCTCCCTTGATTCAGAAAGCCTACTCTAGTTGCAATTTTCTATGCTGAGCAAGAGAATTTGTACACAGTAGTAGTTTTCTTGGATCTTTTCCAGTAGTGCTTTTCCAGCATTGACAGCTAGGCCAGCTCAACATTTCTTGAAAGGAACACTGATAGTATGCAATATGCAAAAAGTGTTTGTATGGTGGTATAAATAATATCATTGTACTCTAGCTTTAAACAAAAAGCAATAATTCACTCTCAGCTCCATCAAAACTGAGCTGATTAAATACTGCTACCAAAGCCAGCCTTGTTGCCGCAATGTCAGAAGAATATGCTGAGCCAAAAGATTTGTGTGCATGTTCTCTTTCAAATACAGAGATGACAAGATTAGTCTTGCTCCAGAGAATTAATGCTAATGATCAGGATAACTGCGTGCTTATTAATTATATAGGAAAGCATCACAGGTGTCAATGCTTATCTCTGTAGTTCATAATACTGTGTTTCTATATCAACCAAAGGCCACGTTGCAACCTCTCTTCTTGGCACTACTGAAGAAAAACTCCACATTCAACTCTGTCCCAGAGTCATGAGTATCTTTATGGCGGATGTGTAGGCAGTCTCTATACAAAAATCTAGAATAAGTGTCACCCATTGTTTTGTTTACTCTGTTAAATATATGTATACTTAGCATGAAATAGACCCAACCAATGCAATTCCAGGTTTTATTCTTATTACAAACAATAGTTTTTGAAACTGGTTTGTTCCAATAAACCATAGTTAAGTTAACCTCAGTTTAAGCTTCAGATTTAACACAAAATGGTGATTAATAAAACACGAAGTATGAGCCAGAGTTTCTGATCTCTTTGTCACAGCCTCCTCTCTATAGCTCTTGATGAGTCTTTGTTTGTCATGCTGTCTGAACATAGCGATTATCAAGACAGGCTTCCACTAACAGAAAATGTTGAACTCACCTAGCCACTCTCCCGCGCAGATCCCCAACTCCCTGCAGGTGTTTATGGTCCAGACTCTGCATCGCAAAATTAGTTCCTGATGTCACATCATCTCTGGTTTTTATCTGTCTCTCCAACACCTACAATTTTAAAAAGACCACACAAGACTGTAATTATATGTGCTCAGTTTATTATTACGTAAAAGAATGTAAAACAGCAGATATTATATTTGGACATTTTGATTTGGAACTTGAAAACTTACTCCTTTGCTACAAGTTAGTTTAGCAAGGCTCAATAGAGGCTTGTAAGGTATAATCAAGAATTATCTCCTTGCTTTCCAGGTTATTCTTTTTACACCCCCACTGGGCGGTGGAGTGTTTTTTGTTCTCATTTGCTCCAAATTTCTAGAGCCCAGGATCTGCTTGTGTGGACTCTAGCACTGCTTTGGTTGGTGCTGATCAGCACATTTTGTGGGTGTACGTCATTTGATGATATTTCCTTATGGATTTTTTTTGCTTTTGGTTTATCTCCACTTTTCTACATCCCATGGACAGATAAAACAAGGAGGGAAGGGAACCATGAGTTAAGCAAGTGAGGAGAGGGCAAAAAAGATAGGCATATAGGTAGAGCAATCTATCTTGGGTGCAGGATGTCAGTGAGCAAATCCATGTGTGTTTAGGCAGGTGGTACTAGGATGACCCAGTGTATCCCAATGCATCTAGCAACAAATATCTTTCCCATATGTGCATACTAGTAGTTGGATGCTCTATTCTATGACCAAGAACAAACCCAGTAGACCTGGAGATAACACCACTGTACAGACAAGCCCTTTGAATAGTTCAGAAGGGAAGGAAAAAGGCAATTCCCAGAATAATGTTCCTTTGCATCCTTGGGCCTTGAATAATGGCAAGGCCCATTTGAGATACCTTAAAAAATAAAGCCCACCATAGCTTCCCACTATATGAATGAGGCATTATGCACTATATACTTGCGTAGCTCCCCCTTCTTCTTTTGTAACCAAAAGGAAGAGATCAGAACCATATACTGTACTTCTTTTAAATAAACCACAGGGGTGTCTGGATTCAGGGAACTGTGGGTCGTTTAAATGAGCCAGAATCTGACTTTTTGGTATGATTATCAAGCCAGCAAAATAAAAAAATTAAGAAGACAAACATGTGACACCTTAAAGACTAACTGCTATATTTTAATATGAGCTTTCGTGGACGTGTTCACTTCCTCATGGGAAACATTTATACATTTACACATGGCTATTTGTTCCCTGGGCAAAAGTTGTTGATAGTGCACGGGTTTACACTTGGCAATAACAGATTGATGTTCATTTCCCCTGCCAGGAAGAATTGTTCTGTAAACAATGATTGGTGGCTAAATTAATCCCAGGCTATAATTCAACATGCAGGAATGTGAAGGAGGTCCGAAGGAGAGTGTGCCATCTCACGAGACAGAGGGCATAGGGGGAGGATTGGAACAAGAAAACGTCAATTCAAAGTCAGACCCAAAGGCAAACATGGCTAAGGAGGGGGGGGGGAGAGAGGGATCCGAAAGGAAGGGGAAGGTGGAAATATGTCTGGTAGAGGAGAGCGGGAGTCGGAAGGGGGAGGAGCAAGAACTGTCAGTTTGGGAGGAGAGTATAAGTAGCCGGGTGAGCAGCGGTTTGAGGTAGAATTCGACATATGGAAGCGCAAAACAGAGCTGGAGAGGCTGAGAGAATATGAGACAATAAAAACCCAAGACTTATTAAGGGATTTCCCAAACCTGAAGTTAAGGGGATTGCTCCCGGATCCCCCGCTCAAGGAATCAGGAGAGGTGAGATATGAGACCTTGAAGTGCCCAGTGATTGTATTTCCAAAGGGGAAAGGAAGAGGTCAATGGGTGATACGACCAGATTCAAGGTTCAACACTCCCCCACCTGGGGGGGATTGGGCCCAGCACCCACGCTGCGGCACCATCTGTGCAGTGAGGAGCGCACCCCTCCGGAAACCCACCAACGCGGAGAAGTTTGGCCCAGTACCCCTGTGAGTTCAACAGACATTGGGTGGGAGTTTGTACTGGACAGTTATGGCTTATTGATGGAGTTAAGAGTTTTCGATCCCATTATGAACAGTGCTGATCATCATGTAAATAATAAAGACAAAGATGTTAGAATTAAGAAGACGTCTCCTATGATGTTTCCCGCACAAAATGAGGAGCTGTCAAAATCTGAAAGTGACCCCAATCACAAGGAACAAAGTGGTAATGAGTACTGTATCTCTAATCACTAACGGGGCTTGTAAGGTGGTATTGTTTAATGAGAAAGGAAATATAGCTGGGAATTACAGCAGAGTGAGAAAGGAAATATAGCTGGGAATCACAGCAGATACAACACAATTTGATAATGGTCTAAGAAACCTTGGATTATGGTATGATTGTGACTAATTCTTATGTGAAACATTTTAAAGCAAATCACTGTCCTCCAAGTTCAGACATCACAAGGAACCCTGATTTGTTTCAGAGCAAATGCATCTATCTTCTTGGAGCCATGAAAGAAGGGGGAGGGGTGCATTAGCCCAAGGCACACCATGGGTCCCTCCCATGGTATAAAGATCATTGTTCTAAACTGGACCAAAAACCATGCATCCGTACACCCTCTAAATACTACAGTGTGCCTCGCTAGACAATGATAATCTGTTCCACTGAAATAGCTGTTTAGCAAAATCATTGTCTAGTGAAAAGCATTTCCCCATTAGAATGCATTGAAACCTGTTTAATGCGTTCCAATGGGGAAGAATTGTCATTATCTAGCGAAGATCGGCCATAGGAAAGCCACTTTGCGAACCGCTGATCAGCTGTTTAAATCGCTGTCTTGCGAAGCTTAGGTCCCCAAAACACCTGTTTTGCGAGCACAGAGGGAGCTTGTCAAAATCGTCATCTAGTGAAAATCGGTTTGCGAAGCAGGGACCAAACATTGTCCAGCGAAATTCCCCCATAGGAATCACTCTTTTGCGAATCGCTATAGTGATCACAAAAAGTCAATGTCTAGTGAAAAAACTGTCATGCGGGGTAACTGTCTAGCGAGGCACCACTGTATTTCTTAAAGGAGTAAATTACTGTAAAGGTGGAGACAGCAGATCAGAGTAGGCACGCAGACATCAAGGTCTGATTCAGTCACCCCTAGGTTTGTTTGTTCTTCCGGGGCCAAGCTTAGAAAAACTACTTTTTTGGCATGGGAAAATTCAGCATGGCCCCTGGCAGTGTGCATATACTGGGCGCTACTGGGGCCACACCTAAAAATCTGATTTAGGAAACCACAAAATTCTACTGTTGCCCCTCCTGGCACCTGCACCACAAGTTGGCCACCTAAGGTCTAAATTCTGAAACGGGTGTCAATTCTCAAAATCCATGTGTACAGAAGCAAAGAAAACCTTGTCTCCATGCCCACCAGCTTTCTCAGGGTGATGATTATTTCATGAATATAATTCAACTAACACTGTTAAGAACTCTTTTAAGACATTTTTAATTATTATTCTCCTCCCTCATTTGAAACCCACTGCTAGGAAGTTTTTGTTTTGCTAATGGTTTTGTTATTTCTGTTTAGCAAACCGTTGATTGGTTTATCCTGCTGTTTCATAAGCAGAAAAATCCATTATGGATTTATATCTCTTCTCCATTTATCTCCTTATACCGAGTCTTGCTAATGGTTCCATCAGTATAGTTAAAATGAATTCACTTATATTATCCCTCATGACTTTTGCTGCTGAGGCCCAAGTTTTCCACAGTTATTACCGTATATCATTTTCATATTCCTTTGCAAGTGCAGATTATAACAACCCCTTTTCTTCCAGGGATGATTTCATTGTTATGATGAATTTTAAAAAGACTATAGATGTCTTTGAGAGACAAATAAATGTCTTGATTCACCAGTGTCCACCTGTATGGAGAGGGAAAGAGTGCTCCCTGCCCCAATTCACACCCTGTCTTATGCACAGAGAAAATAAAACAATGGGAAAAGAGGGTGGGGACCAGAAGCATGACACTGGAGCTGCTCTCAGAATAGAGATATATAATTTCCATTTTTTCCCAGAAAAAAAACAACTTTCCTGGGGGGGGCCTGGGGGGGGGGTGGTTCTGGAAAAAAGGAAATCTTTGGAAATTTTACATCTCCAGAGAGAACCTAAAGACATGAAGTCTCAGAAGTCTTTCATTAAGTTCTTCATGTTATATAGTTCGAACACCATGTCATAGGCATATTATTTATCACTGTAACAGAACATATTCCACACTCAATTTTTTTCAGTTTTTCCGGAAAAAACAACAAAAAACAGCCCTGTTTTCCCCCAATTTTTCTGTTTTTTTTTCCAGGCCTTCCCATTTCTATCCCAGAGGAAATGTTCCCAAGACTTCCAATCAAAAGATGTTCCACTGCTATTTTGTCTTTCTCACCTTAATAAATTTGCCTGCTAAGAAAAAAGATGGAGGTTGTAGTGGGAGAACATGGAAGGTTACAAATGGGCTGCTTGTAAAATTCCATTATGGCAGGATAATTGCAAATTAAATAGCTTGTTTACATATTGAGGTTCAAGCTAGTTTATTCACTTGGCACAATTTTTTTTTAATAGATGCTCTTCTAAGTAGTGAGACATTCCTGGTCGTCATAGCATGTGATTTCCTTTCTGCATTTGGCATGCCCTTCCGATTGTTGACTGGAAGATATACGTGGGCTTAATTTTCAAGTCTAATTGATATAGCACATATTTCTGAGAAAATCCCATTGTGAAGAAAGACACATTCCCTGTTAATCTCTCTATTTAATCCTAGGGACATAGTGCACACAGTGAGGTGGTAAAATTGTGGAGCATTCTAATGCTAGACTTCAAGTGTATGTATGCGTGTGCGATCACTCACAGGATGTTTCTGTACACAAATATTTTCCTGTGCACAGCAAACTAATGCCGAAATGGCCCCTATCAGTGTTTTCGCGCCCTCCCCTTGCTTACGGAGGTCGCGAAAACTATATATATATATATACACAATATATGCTAGCATTCTGATTGAGAATGGAACCAAGTATCTAGGGTCCTCACACATTGCAGGAAACTGCAGCAGGAGTAGGTTCACAAACTTCATCTGAGGGTTGAAAGATAGTATTCGGAGCACATGGTTTCTTGCACCACAGGGACAAAGGTGAGGAAATTAAAATTACATCTCTGGATTGTCTTCTGAAAATACTCATGAGCTAAACCACTGCATAACTAATGAATCCTACGTATACACTTTTTGAAGGCATTTCAAAACTCTAGCAAGTTCACCCATGAGTTACGTAAGAAGGAGCTGATTCTAACACAGATCCTTGATGTTGTCCTCAGTTTGGGATGGGGGGTGGGATAGGCATATCTGTGCCACAAGTCAGAATCTCTCCTTCGAGGATTTCCCTGGCCTAATGATGAACTGCAAATACTTTACATTCAGGATGCAAGGCAGATGCTGACAGCTAGCTGGCTAGGCCTGCTGCCTCCTGGGGAGACCAAAGCTATGCATATTTTATGAGTAACTTAATATTAAGGAAACACAAAGGGAACTGAAAAATACATTCCTACTGAATAAACTAGAGGTTTAACAAATTGTCAGCCACAAACACCAAACACAGCAACAGTACCTCTATATCATGGCTCAGTTTTTTAACAATGCTGGTAATGATCTGTATGTGGTTCTCCAGTAGTTGACGTGCAGCTGCCTCCCCGGGCTGAAAGCCTTTACTTCCCTGAAGGTAAGAAACAATGTCATCTTTGATCCGGAAGGCCTGATCCAGAAGAACAGCGGTGGTCCTCTCCTGATTAGACAACCGGTTTTCAAGGGAATTCACCCTGCTCCCAGAAACGTTTGGAATTGCCGGCAGGAAAGACGGACTAGCAGTCCTGACCAAGAAGTAACCATGTAAGACAAGAAGACCCAGAGTTATAGGTAAGCCATATTTTATCCTGCCCAACTGTGACTGCAAAGTAAAATAAGAGAGGCAGCTTAGAATTCAGTTGTCGTTTTTCTTTTACACACATGCCCTATAGCACGTTGCATATTGTTGTCTGTCAACAATCCTATTTGGTTTGCAAGACCCTACGATCCAATATGGGGTGGACTGATAAATTCAGCGCTGGGGGGGGGAACACACTTTTCAGCAGATTGTTTATGGATTTCTGATCAAAGTTGATAAGGATGTAGAGGCAAGGAAGGATGAATATATTGTATGTGAAAAATCTAGCAGCACAGTACTCACAAGCAGATATGTTACGTAATATAAGGGCTGAAATCTTCTCACTTAGCATTAAGGAAATTTACAACTTTACCTACCTGGCAAATAAAAAATAGTTTCTGTGATTCCTGGTGGGAGGCTCTGCACTGGCTTTTTTTTAGGGGGGGGGACTTTTTATTTGCTGGTTAGGGAAGGACAGAGCTGCATGAATGTTCTTATGCCAAGCAAGAAGAGTTCACCCCATATACTGAAATAATTGTTTGCTGATTTACTTAATTACTTACTTAATTACTTAATTTCTATCCCGCCTTTCTCCCCAAAAGGACCCAAGGCGGCTTGCATCATTAAATGCTAAAAAACAGTAATACAAATATTTTAAAAAGAATTAAAGAAGCATTATATTAAAATGTTAACTAAGATCAGTATTAAAACACATTTAAAACAACAGAGCACAACAGCCCATTTAAAACCCCTCTCAAACCACCAGGTGTTAAGGAAAAGCCGCCTGCCTAAAGAGAAAGGTCACTTCTATGGGAGCCTATCTTTCCTTAGATGATGCCAGGAAAACTGTGGCCCTAATTCCTTGCTGAGGTTTTGGGTTGATGCAACAATACAAATGGTAACATTTCCATCTATTTTAAACCAACAATTTAAGTATATTATATAAAACCAGACATGCAATCATGTTATTAAACATACACAGAAAGAAGTCAGAAGGGGCTCAGAATAGTCACACTTATGGATAAAGTTATGCCCATGTATTTATTTAGAGAAACTTTGTGATTCTGCCTGACACATTTGCTGTGAACTTCAGGAAAACAAACCTTTTGAAGCAGTTTGCAGATCTTAACTCCCAAGTACCAGTTTCCATATAGATGTAAAAAGAGCAATAATTCTGGGAAAAACTGGAAGCAGCAGGAAACAAGGAAGACCGACTATGATATGCAATACCTTGATAAAAGGAAGCCAGTGCCTTTAGTTTGCAAGTTGTGAGCAGGGCTGTTAAGGACAGATCCTTTGGGAGTTCAGTAATTTGTAGGGTTATACCAATTCGGAACTGATTTGATGGCACATAACAATATCCCAATGCTACCAGACCTGCTGGGTAGGCATCCTCTACATAGTTATAAACAATATCCCCACATTTCAGCCGTTTGCATCCTTAAAAAAAAACCAACAAAAATAACCAGGTCAAAAAATATCCAGGAAAAAATCTCTTACTTTTTGCCTTTGATGGATTTTTATTTAATCCCAGTCAAAATACTAAGACAAAACATGTCCCAAGTCATTTTTCTACAAACCACAATGCAGCTCTAGTTGTCAATAGGTTGGCCTCATTGGGGAGAAAGTGATATTTCTTTCAGTGTAATTTTCCTTATGATCAGAAGATATAGAGTTATATCCTAACTCTAGCCAGAACCCTCATTAGGTTGAAATTCTCATTTGAACCAAAACAAGTATAAATATAATACAAGTTTTAATTTTAGCAGGCATTTGGTCCTTCAGCTGAAGTTCTTTGTCTGTTAAGCAAAGCAATGTAGAACACAGATGCTGTAATGGATCTGAAGAATGAAGATGATGATGGATGGGAATCAGTGGTTCTGTAGGAAGACTGGCAGATATTTCTGCTCATGCAGCTGGTGTATAAATGGTTTGTACTGGTCCCTTACTTCCAGCTACAGTCCTCTGTTCCCAAGAGGTTTCCTGATGCATTGGAGCAACTTTAAAGACCTGGAGCTGAATGCGGGAAAGAAATTTGGGAAACTCCATTTCACAAGCATAGCTCTGATCATTGTTGTTGCTATCCATGTCAAGATGTTCAAATGGATTATGTATTTTCATTAGAAAGAATGCACTAATGTGAGAGAAAGACTTCAAGGATAATCACATTACATGGGGATAATTTACTGTAGGGTTATCAGCGTTGTAGCAGTTCTATGATGCTATTGAACACCTATGGCAATCCCACCATGAATTGCCAGTTAAGGCATTCTGTTGTTCTATGCCTTCACAACACTGTTCTCAGGAGCTGTGGCCATAAGGATCTTCATTAGATCTACCTGCTACTTCTGTTTGAGTATAAGATTTACAGCTACAGTATTTTAAAACAACAGAGAGGTCACAGTACACAAACCCTAGAAGTCACAGAATGAAAAAATAAATACATAAATTTTACATTTTAAAATTACAGTCTAATTTTCACATTTAATCTTAATTTAATATTACAGTCTACTTTTCACATTTTAAATCCGCACTGCAAGACCCATCAGGGCACAGAAACATACCCCCCCCCCACCAAGCTGCAAAAATGCCTGTACAGTATAGTAAATACAGTGTACTCACCCAGAACAGGCAGTCTCTCTGTTTAAAAAAAAGGTCAAAAATCCAAAAATCCAAAAATCAAAAATCAAAAATGGGATTAAAAAAAAACAAAAAAAGTCCTTATAGTACAGTACAGGCAGTGCACTGTACCAGGCAATACTGTACCAGGCAATTCCAAACTGTCTCCCTATCCACTCACTTAACCGCTGGGACGAGCGAGGTTGCAGACAAGCAGCCTCTTCGCTGGCCAACAGTCAACTGAAAGTTCAAATTTCGCACTTTCCCCGTCTCCCCACGTTTTTTTTTGTTCGTAAGTTGAGGCTCCATTCACAAGTTGAAGCAACATTTTGCGAATGGAGCCGTCCCTAACTTGAATTGTTTGCAAATGGAGACATTCAAGGTACCACTGTACCTGTACTGTATGTGGGTTTAAAATGTGACTCCAAAGTCTTTTTTTTCCCTTTGGGGATCTGTTTGCTGTAATAATGGTTGCTGGATGTTGATGCAGGCTGTTTAAAAAGGAGTTTGAAATGGAGTTTACTTTAGACTCAAGTCCCCCCCCCCAATTGTCTTATCTCTCTCTCCCTCCATGCTCTCTTTTTGTGATGAGGAGTTCTGTGCTGGAATGGTTGCTGATTGTTGGTGCAAGCAGGCTGTAAAATGCAGTTTAGACTCAATTCTCTCCCCCACTCCCTCTATGCTCTCTTTTTCTGATGAAGAGTTCTGTGCTGGAATAATGGTTGCTGGATTCTGTGCCTTTTAGGGTTTGTGTACTGTGGTGACCTGAATCATAGTCACGGCTCCAAAGAAATAACAGAGCAAAGCCCCCCCCAAATCATCTCCATTGAAAGAAAAAAAGGAATCATCAAAAAGCATGAAGATGGCATGCGTATCACTGAACTGGCTGCGGGATACCAAATGGCAAACCATCACCACCATCTTAAAGATGGTGAAACACACTGATGTCTTGAAACACATTGATGTGGCAAAAGGAGTCACAATCCTGCACCATGATTTACTGGAAAGAAACCCCTCTGGAAGTGCAGCATAAGAACAATTCAGTGCCAGCAGGGGATGGTTTCAGAAGTTCCAGAAGAGAAGTGGCATCCACTGCATTACAAGACATGGGGAGGCTGCAAGTTCTGACCATGATGCTGCAGAAGCCTTCAAGGTGGAGTTTGCTGAATTCACCAAGGAAGAAGACTACCTCCCCCAGCAAGTCTTCAACTGCAACGAGACAGGGCTGTTCTGGAAGAAGATGCCCAGGAGAACCTACATCACCCAGGAGGAAGAGAAACTGCCAGGCCACAAACCCATGAAGGACAGATTGACCCTTTTGGTTTGTGCCAACGCCACCAGTGATCTGAAGATCAAGCCTCTACTCGTGTACCACTCCCAGACTCGTCGCCCATTCCAGCAAGAGAAAGTCAACAAGGCCACACAGCCTGTCATGTGGAGGGCCAACTCAAGAGCTTGGATGACAAGGCAGCTGTTTATGGAATGTATTTGCACTCACTGTCAAGAAATATCTTTCCAACAACCAGCTTCCTGAGAGGTGCCTTCTTCTGATGACCAACGCTACGGCACACCCCTATCCTTGGTGAATGATATTGACGAGGATTTCATCAGGGTCAAGTTCCTTCCCCTCAACACAACACCTCTTCTGCAGCCCATGGACCAGCAAGTGATCAGCAACTTCAAGAAGCTGTACACAAAGGCACTCTTCACCAGGTGCTTCAATATCACGGAGGAGATGTCCTTGACCCTGAAAGAGTTCTGGAAGACACATTTCAATGTCCTCCACAGCGTCAGACTCATCGACAAGGCCTGGCAAGATGTCACAACTAGGACCTTGAACTCAGCCTGGAAGAAACTGTGGCCAGAATGTGTCACAGACAGTGGCACTGAGGGGACTGATTCACAGGTGGCGAGGGACATTGTCTCCATGGGTGGAGGCATGGGTAGTAACCGGACAAGTGTCTGAATAAGTTCTTTATATATTGTGAATAAAGGAAATCCACTGGTGGCAATGAGGAAACGAGGGAACGTCCCAATTGGTATGTGCTGGTGGGATGACATAGCATAAGCCCTTTGTATGGGGAAACAAGCAGAGGCCACGTGGTAAACGTCACAGGTGTAAATTTTTGAAAATAAGTATCTAATTTCAGTGGCCTATGTACATTCCAATCATGACATGTACTGTAGTCTGATTATAAGATTCTTTGTTATAAAATCTTTGTTATTAATTCTTTGTCCTAAATTCATATAATTTTGTGATTTTTTTACAAAGTATTTCTTTCCGGTGTTTCTATCTTACAAAGTCAGAGTGGCCGACTAAAATTAAAACACCAATACGAAGCACAAAATGGGCAAGTAGTGCCTTTAAATTGTGGCCCAATTGAGAACAGAATGCAATGTTTTTAGCAGGTTAAAATGATGTATGAAAAGCACAGTGAAATTAGCCAGGTACTGCAGGTGTTCTGTCTTGTGAAAATGCAGACTATTGGCCCCCTCTGTATATACGTACCAGAAAGAAGATGATGCCCAGACCCTGCTGGTAAAAAGTTTAAATGGCCCGTATAAATGATAAAATAAAAATGAGGGTTACTACAGTGGGGGCTTGACTTGAGAACTTAATCCGTATTAGAAGGCGGTTCTCAAGTCAAAAAGTCTGTAGGTCAAGTCTCCATTGACCTACAGTGCATTGAAAACCGATTAATCCCGTAACAGGCCGTTTTTGTTCCATTTTGGTTTTTTTTTTGGTCTGTAAGTCAATTCTCAGGCTGCAAGTCAAACCTAAATTTTGCGGCCAGAGAAGTCTGTAACTCAAAAAGTCTGTAAGTCAAGCCGTCTGTAAGTCAAGGGTCCTCTGTAGTTACAAGAGTACGTATATTAGAAGGTTATTTTTTTAAAATAAATAAATTCCCAGAAATCAAAAGAAACCTCTCATGATAAGTCTCCAAGCCACCAACTAATTTTTTTTCTTTTTAGAAAAGCCATTTCATCAAGTAGCAATTTATGTTAAAGTTTCAAAGAAGAATAAATCACTATGGCCTGATGGTCTAACAGCAGAATATGATAAATTATCCATAACACTTGTGTGGCTGGGGCTTTGATTGAAAAAATTAATGCTTGTAGCCCTAATAAATTGCGGCCTTCTATAAACCCAGAACAGTCTGTCTGTCTCTGAGCATGACTTCCAACGGGCAGGACGAGTGCCAAGTCATAGTAATTCTTCGGGGGACTTGATATTAGCACTACATGGAATTGAGTATATATGACTTCACCGTTCCGAGGTTTTAGTGGCTGGAGACTGAGTGCATTGAACAATTTCATCACAATATGTCTCACTTGCCATAAAGCAAATTATTTATGATACCAATTCAATTGTGTGTGTTAGAGGTAACAGAAAGAGCTATTAGTTGGACCTAAGAAGTGTGTGTCAACAACATGAGCCTTCGAACTAGCACACAAGTGTTTCATTCCAAGCAGATCCTGGGGGCCAAGGGACCTTATTTCAAGGCCACTGAAACCCTGTCAAGTTAATCATCTCTCTTTTGCATTGATGCTTTCCTGTCTGACCAAGAAGGAATAAATGCTATCAAACTCCTTCAATCTTCTCTTGTCTGTCTTTTGGAGAACGTAACAGAATCAGATTCTCATCATGCCAAAAATAAATAAATAAAATAAAACAGCAACCTCACACAAATCTAATACTTTATTATTTTTCAAAAATGCACCTCACATTTACCACCTGACTGTAAAAAAAAAACCTCAAAAAAGTTAGCTAGGTAAGCTATGTAGTAGCCTGTTGCAGCAAAAACAAGAATGTTATGGCGCCATAGAAACTAATCAACCTATCATGGCATACGTTTGCATGAAAGTTTATGCCATAATGGCCAAAATCCAATTGCGTAAAGTAGGCAAATTTGTTGGTTTCAGTCTGTTCCTCTCCAGTCAACGAAGAGTCTTGTCATGATTCTTGGGGGCATGAGCATGCATTGGCTTGCCGTGGATGCACTCAGGTGCCCACAGGAATTACAATGGAGGCTTCTTATTTACTGGTGAGGCATAGACTGAAACTTATGAACTGGCTTATATTATGCAACAGGATTTCAGTCAATAAATCTATTTGTTTTTAAATAATACACTGCCTAGAATCCCATGCTGGCCTGGAGATTTTGAGCCCCAAGTATGGCTTTTCCAATCTCTGTCATTAAATATTGTGAGATAGTTGTTGTGGGTTTTTCGGGCTCAGCTTTTCCAATCTCTGTCATTAAAGTATTGTGAGATAGTTGTGGGTTTTTCGGGCTCTGACACAACAACCATCAGATCCCGGCCGTGAAAGCCTTCGAGAATATATTGTGAGATACTTTTCTTCTTCTCTTTGGCTGCATTCTACTAATTACATCCCTTAAGAGGAGTGTGAAGATATCTGTTAGAGTGAGTGCTTGCATGAATCTGTACCCTCAGTGACAAATCCTTCATACTGGTTGACCTTGTGAACTCTCTGTTGGAGGAGAATGTAAATGGTAACCTACGGCAGTGACCTTGCATCCTAAGAAGCCATCCCCAGTTCAAAATGTTTCCCTTCTGCTTGGCTCTGCTCAGACCAGGGTGCTTTTCTCTTGTACTGTATTCACTTCTGCTTATTCAGAACATGGTATGATTAATCTTTTCCTGTACCGGAATGCTTCAAGGTTGCTTTGAAAATCAGCGTAAAAGGTTTCCTTTGTGGCCAATCACATTTTAATCAGTCATGCCTAAGTTCTAAATGTCTTATTTCTCCTAAAATATGTTGCACTGCCAAAAGCATCTCAGACCCTTGAAGAGAGATTTAAAGGATGTCCTTTTGTATTGGCATGAGTTATTCTGAGATTCATTTGTCAGAAAATAATCATAATCATGAGTATACAATGGAGCTGGTTCTGACTTATTTGTCTGAAAATGATAAACACATACATTTCTGTAATGATCTTTTACGGAAATATATTACCTTTTGGAAAAGTTTACAAAAATATGTGGAATATTAATATAAAAGGCAATTGAAGAATTTCCAAATTGGATGCAATTTTTCCAAAAGTAACTGGGGCGGGGGCAGGGTGGGGAAGAGTGAGCAAGGGAACCAAAAAGATAAGGGGAAGCAGTGAAAGTACTGATTGGCAAGTAGTTTTGTAAATCAGTAAAAGCTGAAATGAGAAAAAAGGCAATTAAATTCTCTGGATGAAGGGGGAACAGGATCTGTGAAGATACTAGAGAGGGTGCATAAATTTCAGGGCCAGCCCTGTCTGTAGGCAAAATGAGACATTGCCTGAGCCAGCAGATGCTAGTTGTCGTGAAAGGCCAGCAAAGTGTTAGTAATTTAATTTCATATTTTGCTTCCAATGATGGGGAGAGGTATTTATGGGATTTTCTACCCTGCGTGGCAAAAATACCAATAATTTGGTTGACATTGGGTACTATGCGCCCTGATTTGTGGGAGTACCATTTGCTGCTCCATGTCAGGCATCAGAATGCCTTGGGTGACCCTAATATACTGTACATAAGCTGTGTATAAATTTAGGGGAAGATCTAAGAACCTTGCAGCATAGCAAATAGACTTTCTTGGGGACTGAATGCAGACTTGTTACACTAGAGTTCATTATTTGAGCACAATGCTTTAAATAGGCCATGTTCCTGGAAACCCCTTTACTGTAACCATGACTAAAATCACAAATTAAGTCTTGTTTGCATTATCTATCAGAGAAATTTCTATTATCAGAAAAGTGAGAGGGTGTCTGACTTACTTTTCAAGGTGTTTAACCAGTTCTGTGGTATTTTCTGCTGTCATTTTTGTTTAACGTATTACCTGGAATGGAAAACAGAAAATACTGCTAAGCATGGAGCCCTCATACACTAATTGTAGCCCACATCAGAAACCCATGCAATACATAACAGACTTCGATGAATGGCTTGCAGAAAAGCCTATGCAGATGATCAGGTATCCAGATCAGCAGTCTTTTACTTTTGGTTAGATTAAATTTAGCTACGGTGATGTCAACTCATGTAATTATGAATTACTGTATAAAGTAAGTTAAGTTTAAACCATCTATTAATGCCATCTTTTCACAATAATATTCTTCTTGGGTTCTGACTCTACAACATACAGTCACGTGAAAAGGAAAGTACACCCTCTTTGAATTCTATGGTTTTACCTATCAAATAAAAATCATCGGGTTCTTAGCAGGTCTGAAAATTAGGTAAATACAACCTCAGGTGTATTAACTTAGTGAGAACACTGCTTGGGGTGGTTTACAAGTTTGTGCTTTCTCTGTTTTGGGGGGCTGGCGTAATAAAGGTATTACTTTAATAAGAAGGCTAGCATGCCACTAGTTATTTATTTATAAAGAGTCTTCTATGTATATGGTGTTTTACAAAAACAGATATAAGTATTTCTGGTATCAGAACTCTAGCTCTTGATATGGCATCACTATGGTACTTCTGTTGTTTAGTCGTTAAGTCGTGTCCGACTCTTTGTGACCCCATGGACCAGTGCACGCCAGGCCCTCCTGTCTTCCACTGCCTCCAGGTTTGGGTCAAATTCATGTTAGTCATTTCAATGCCACTGTCCAGTCATCTCGGCCTCTGTTGTCCCCTTCTCCTCTTGCCTTCACATTTTCCCAACATCAGGGGGTTTCCAGGGAGTCTTCTCTTCTCATCAGATGGCCAAAGTATTGAACCCTCAGCTTCAGGATCTCTCCTTCCAGTGAGCACTCAGGGTTGATTTCCTTCAGAATGGATAGGTTTGTTCTCCTTGCAGTCCAGGGAACTCTCAATAGTCTCCTCCAGCACCACAATTCAAAAGCATCAGTTCTTTGGGGGTCAGCCTTCTTTATGGTTCATCTCTCACTTCCATACATCGCTACTGGAAAAACCATAGCTTTGACTATGAGGCCCTTTGTTGGCAAGGTGATGTGTCTGCTTTTTAAGATGCTGTTGAGGTTTGTCATCGCTTTCCTTCCAAGAAGCAGGCATCTTTTAATTTTGCGGCTGCTGTCATCAACTGATCAGGGAGCCCAAGAAGATAAGATCTGTCACCGCCTCAATATCTTCCCCTTCTATTTGCCAGGAGGTGATGGGACCAGTGGCCATGATCTTAGTCATCACTACTAGCAGTAGCTTAATTCAAATAATGATCTTATATAAAGAACAAAAAATAATAAAAAATAAGGGCATAATTAAGTTAATTTATATCTGTTTAATTTTTATAGGTTATAGAATATACTTAAAATAATGAACACTGTTACAAAATTAATTAAATATCATGAGAACTGATAGCTGAACTGTCCAAAAGTCAGAAATAGTTTAACTACTCTATCTTACTTACCTCTGGAAATGAACTAAACCAAAACCAGACATGGAGCTAGATCTCAGGCTGTTATTCAGAATTGTTATCAGGCTGTTATCTGAAAGATGCTTAGAACTCCCATCCTCGTTTCTATGGTGTTGCTGTGAGGTCATCATTCCATTTCCATGGCTTATAAGAGAATAATTGGAGACCAGTTTGATTTTTTTTACTGTTGTTTTAACTGTATGTATTATTGCTTTCCTTGTTACTATGAGCTGGTATGGAACCCTGAAAATGGAAAAGAAATAGTTATTAGCAATAATAATATTGATAGCTAATGTTACTGTACATGATATTCTGATTGAACTGTAAGCTGTCTAATGGCTGTGATCCAAATGTAAACCCATTGGTATAAATCTCAGTGGTGAATAACCACAAGTTAAAAAGCCATGGTGTGCATTTGCTGTTGTACACTACTTCACATGACTGGTGTGTAACAAGAAATGCACATGCCAGCTTTCTAATTCATGACAATCCACCACTGAAATTAACACTGATGAACTTGACACTGGGAATTATGCCTGGCAGGCATAAGTAAAAGTATAAGTAATAGCTTATAATTAGTAAAAGGAGGATTTCAATGTGTTTTCTGCCCCAGCAGTTTGTTAATGTGTTTCTTAAGGTCATCTACCAAACCCTTCTAAGCTACTCAACCCAAAACATTAGAAGTATTTCTGAATTTTTGCCAGTGATAATCCTGCTACAGTTATAGTTCACAATGTTTTCCTCTCACATTATCTCTTTAAATAATTCAGGAAAATTACCGACAAATTCTGTAGTGCATGTAACAAAAGCACTTCTCACTTTAGGAAAAATGTTCACCAATGCATTCTCTTTCTCCTTCAGTTGTACTGTGTGAAAAAGTTGGCATATCATAGCAGTTTTTGATTGGCAATTCCAGCCATTTCCATAATATATTTATTAAACATCTGGCATATGTTGTTGTAATATGCTTTTAGTGAGCTGGCCAGCGCATACATAGAACTGGGGACAGCTCATGGACTGGAGTAGATGGGAGTCCCACCCCAAGATTTCTATGCAAGCATCCCCTATCTGGTCATGAGCTGCTTATGGTTTGGGCCAAAACTACATATATTATTTCCGCAATCTACAGGAGATATCCAAATACTGGAAAAATGATTTGAAAATTCCAGTTTGTTAAGTTTACAAAGCTTGGACAAAATCAGAAAAAGACATGCCCTATTTATGCTATAATTTCATTGAAAACAATTAAATATAGAGCCAAAGAAATGTAAATATAGACAAGTGGTATAACTTCTGTACCATGATTTCCTAGCACTGGTTTACCAGGATAATGCACAAGACAGTTGTTCCCATTTCTAGGCATGATATATACAATCCTTGAGAATATAAATATAAATACAAATATAAACTAAACATTTACCTTTACCTTTATACTTTTATCTGTTGTTTTAAAGCAGCATATTTAAAACAGCCTACTAATTTTTTTTCTACAATAGCCTGACTCCAAGCTAGGCAAAACCTCTCATGTAACTGAATGCAACATACCTTTCAGCTCTAAACATTCATTGTTCTAGTTTGCCTAACAGGTGTTTTTAAAATGCAAAGAAAAACTAACAGTACCTGATTATGAAGTTCTTGGAGGAGCAGCTCTGCTTTGTTCTAGGGACAGATCAAAAGGGGAATGCTGCACAAGATTTTTTTTACCCCATTTGTCATGAAGACCAGCAGATTGGTTCCACAAGACTTAGCACTCTGTCACCAAGATACTTTTGTTTACTTCTGTCTCTAGGCAACTAGAATGCTCACTTTCAAACACGGAAGTGAGCTGTGTGGCACATGTGTCACACTGAAATATGGATGTAATGTGTGTATGCATCTGTTTTTAAATTTATCTGTGCCATGTGTTTGGAATCTCTTGGGTGACTATTCAGAACTTGAGAAGAGAATGTTTTCTTTCATCCAATACCTGAATGATCTCTTGAAATCAAATACGTAGTGACACCTATCTGCTTACCTCTTTAAAAAGCAAGCTAGGAGACGAATAACAAGCAGACCATGTTAGTGTTCTGGAAGTGGCAGTTCCACTTTTGCAACAGAAGATGGAATGAGCAGGGGAGTTTGCATGTCCCTGCCCTGCCTGCCCTGCCCCAAGAACGAGAGCCAGGCAGGATCAATAATCTGAAGTGATTCTCATTAACTCATTGAGACGAGCTGTAGGAACAAATTGATTACATCTGGTCCATGCTGTTATTCTCACATTTAAAATGTTTTAGGCCAAGAACAGAAGATGCAAGTTCAGGGAAGGAGTGCACATGAGTGCCCACCCCCCAGTCGCTCTCCTTCTCAAACCTCTGCCTATTTAAGACTGTCAGTTTCCATGACAGGAAAATTGAAAAAATAACAAACAATGTGCCACTCTTTATTGACATCTCTGATCTGCTGCTGGTCAGCCACTTCAATCTGCCAAAGGGCAATATGAGATCTTGGTGTCCCTCAATCATATCAACAGCATCAAGTGATTTGGTAAAAGAGGCACACAACAGGATGCTCTTACGCAGTAGTTTGGACACTCAGATGATTTTGGACTGAATCTCTGTGATTGGGTTCGACACGTTTAGAGTTCGACATGTGAGGCAGAAATAAGAGATGTATTTTCTGAAAAAATATCAACATTTTTATTGTTAACAATTTCAAGTGGATTTATAACCATTTCCACTGGTTCTAACAAGTTTAAATTATTTAACAGTTCATAACTAACGGACAACGGTCCAACCTTTTTCTCCTCATAACTGTCAGACAACGGTCTCACATCCTTTTCTTCACAATTCAAAAGGGAGTGAGTCCAAACCTCTCTAGATCCTTCATCTTGCAAAGATGATTGCTTCTCATGATACCTACAGTCCCATGAGAAGGGTGCCTCACCCATTCGTCCTCTCAAAGAGATTGATTGAAATAGGAATCCGGTTTGGCTATTTTCCTCCACCACCCGTATTCCTTTGGATCCAATATTACAGTCCATTCTACCAGTCTTAGTATACAGTGGTGCCCCGCATAGCGATGATAATCCGTTCCGAAAAAATCGTCGCTATGTGGATTTGTTGCTATGCGGGGCAGAAAAGCCCATAGGAATGCATTAAAACACGTTTAATGCGTTCCTATGGGCAAAAAAACTCTCCGTTATGCGGAAATCCTCCATGCCGCCATTTTTGCTGCCCGGTAAGCGAGGAAAGGGCGCGAAAACACAGTGGTGGCCATTTTCTTTACCTGGTGGCCATTTTGGAACCGCTGATCAGCTGTTTAAAAAATCGCTATGCGAAAATCAGTAAGCAAAACGCTTACCGATCATCGCAAAGCGATGTTTTACCATTAGAAACATCACAATGCGATCGCTTTTGCGATTGCAAAAAACACGTTGCTATGCGGATTCGTCGTTAAACGAATTGCTCATTATGCGGGGCACCACTGTATTCTTTACTTGAAATTTCTCCGGTATTGGTAGCAATCCTCCTGTTCTTAAATTAGGAAAATCCTCTAACAGTTTTTTCATCCACTTATATTCCTCTAACTCATCTTTCCTCTCCTTTTCTTTCACCTCGCCTCTCTCTTCCCTTTTTCCACCCAACTGCCCCCTTTTCTCCCTTTACTCCTCCTCCTCCCAGATTGACACCTCTAGTCCCACCCCTTTTCCTTCCTCTATTTCTTCTACTGAGCAAACGTTTGCTTTCTCTTTGGTTCCCTTTGTTCCTTTGTCTTTCTCCTTGTGACAATCGCCCCATGTCACTCATGCCTCATAGTCATGAGCTGATTTGCATGAGCCTATGAGAGGACTGGAGAGGAGGAGTCAGCAGCTACATGAGGCTTGGCAGGAGAAGGAGGAGTCAGATAGAGATTGGAACAAGATCCAGATAGAGATAAGGGCTGGTTAGTGAGAGAGAGAGGGAACAGATATAGAGTGATAAGGCTGGTTAAGAAAATAGGTAGAGAGGTGGTAATGATATTGCAAGAGAAAAGTAAGTACTGAGAGAACTGTTAATGATTAGCTTGTGTACAATGTTTATCTGAAGAACTTCTGTTATTATTAAATCTGCTTCACTTCAATAAATAAGTTCTGTTTGTATTCAGAAGACAAGTGTTCTGACAAACATCATTTATATTGTGGATTGAGGTAATCCAATGGTGGCAGCTAGAGGAAAACAAGACATGAGCCTTTGTGAGGGCAAAACACACAGGTGCCACAAGGGTAAATGCCACAATTGGTGTCCAGCGGCGGGATATGAAACAATCCAGCAAAACCAGAGCTTGAAAGTGATTTTTTTTGAGTCGTTGGTACCTTTTTTTAGTCAGAGGTCTGTGGTGAAGAAGTAGGTGACCTGCTAGAGCTTTTGTGGAAAAGCTTAATAGCGGGGCTTCTGATCCCAGATCTGAGGGGACTAAAGATAGGGAACGACTCTAAGGGAAAATTATTTTGTTGTTATCTCAGGATTTGAACAGACCCAGTAGGCAAGCTTAAAATCCAAGGCTCTGAGAGAAGGGAGCACTGGTGGATAAAAAGTGGAAGACAGGGTTGGAGCAGAACTGAGGTGATAGGAAAAAAAACAGCAGAGGCTTGAAAATAGAATTTGTTTTGTGTCTGGAGGCAAGAAGGTTGTCTCAAACCAAGACACATTGTGCTGGCATGGTGCCAGAATAAGTGTAGCCATCTTTAGCTGCAGATTGAGAGCTACATAGTACCACAGAAAAATACTGGGAAAAGAAAATAGCATTAAAAAGTGTTTTTTAAAAAGGCCTGGCTAACTCAGCAATAGAAACGAGCTCTTATCAAGGAATTACATACTTATGCCACCCAAAAGAACTAAAAAGCCAGTAATAGAGGGAATTAATCCTCAAGAGGCACAAAGTTTATCTCAGGAAGTGGAGGGAAATGGAGACCCTCTAGCTCCAGTGGAACAGGAGGAGACTGATCAGGGTGCTTCAGAGAGACAAAGGGATCTAAGCTCCCAAGGATTTGAAAAATGGAAATTGGAACAGGAATTCAGGTTTAAGGAACTACAGCTCAAAGCTGAGCAAGAGGCCAGACAAAAGGAAATAGAATTTAGGGGAAAAGCCAGAGCTGAAGAGAAAGCTAAGGAGCTAGAGCTCAAGGAACTAGAAATCAAAGCCAGGGCTGAAGAGAAAGGTCAGGAACTACAGCTCAGGGATTAAGAGATTAAGGAGAGAGAGGGGGCTGAGGCCAGACAAATGGCATTCAAGCAAGAAAAAAGACAGATGGAATTTCAAATAGAGATGGAAAGACTGGAAATTGCTGCTCAAAATAATAACAAAAATAATAACAGCGCTAGTGAGGGAGATCTCTCAAAGATCGATCTAAAGAAATTTCCCCAATATAGGAAAGGAGATTGCCCTAATCTTTCCTGATTTCATTTGAGAGAGCGTGCTGGGATTTTGAGATTAAGGATGATGAAAGGATGATAGTGTTAAGATCACAAATAAGTGGAGATTTAGCTGATTTGTATTCTCAGATGCCTTTGGAACAGGCTAGAAATTTTGAAGCATATAGAAAAATGGTATACAGTGGTGCCTCGCTTAACGAGCGCACCGTACAACGGCGAATCCGCATAGCGATCCCCTTTTCAGGATCGCTAATGCGGAGGCATACCGATCGTCCCAATGGGCAAAACTCGCATAGCGACAATCGGTAAGCGTTTCGCTTACCGATCTTTGCTTTGCGATGCCCGCGGACCAGCTGTTCGGTGATTCTAAAATGGCCGCCGGACGCCCGAAATGGCCACGTGCAGCATTTTCGTGCCCTCCCCTCGCTTACCGAGGGCACGAAAATGGCTGCCGCTATGGAGGAAACTTCGCTGAACAGTAAGTTTAGGGCCCATTGGAACGCATTAAATGATGTTTAATGCATTTTTATGTTCTGTTTAGCGATGTCTTCACATAGCGAGGGTTAATCCGGAACGGATTAACCTCACTATGCGAGGCACCACTGTATTCTAGATTTGGCATAAATGCAGAACACCTTAGAGAAAAAATTTCATTCCCTTACCAAAAATCTGAAGAATCTTATGCTCAGATGGGGGCTAAATTGATTCAATGTTCTGACAAATGGATGGAATGTGAGAAAGTCACCCCTCTAGATCAAATGAAAAATGTGATTGGGTTAGAACAATTTTATTCTACTTTGCCTGGGGAATTGCATATTTAATTAAAGAGAAAAATCCTAAAAATTTATTAGAAGCAGGTAAAAATTGGTAGAAAAGTGTGGGACGACAGGAGAGAGGCCCCACCCAGTACAGATGTACCTCAGAAGTACCCAAGCTACTGGAAGCCTCATCTCCAGCACACAAACATCTGAAACCTAATAGTCCTGAGGGAAAAGTTAATAAGCCTCCTTGTTTTGAACCCAAGGCCAGTAAACGGTGTTATATGTGTGGGGAGAAAGGTCATTTTTGGGCTCAAAAGACTAGGGATTGTAATCATCTTAAGGGTGGAGATTCTAGTCCCCCTAAGAAGGTGCCACAAGGGTAAACACCACGCTCCTCCTTCTGTTTCTCCTTATCCTCTGATTTCTTTCCCTCATCCTTTGACTCTGCGTATGTGGTTATATCTGGAGAAGGAGACAGCACACTCTCCGGTATCTCTCCTTCCTTCATCTCTTTCTCACAATCTCTGACCACAAACCTTGCTGGCCAAGAGCATTTGGGAGCCAGTAGTGCCTGGACACCAAAGTCTAGGAATAAATGCCCCAATGTCTAATTTG